AGCTCCTAGTTTTATTTATCAGCCCAATGGCTTTCTTTGGTGATGGTGGTGATAGTTTTGATTTTGTTTGTCTCTTTGTTTTTCAAAATTTCTATTTTTCCATTTCTTTTGGGTTTTTGATTTGTTGCTTTTCTAGTTTAAAAAAAATATATATGTCCAATTTATTATTTCCCTTCTAAGTGAAATAGTAGCTAGCATTTATACAGTGCTGTAAGATTTATAAGGTGTTTTGCCAATATCTCATCTTAATGAAAGTGTTTGGAGATCTCGTGGCAAGAAAACCCACTTTGTTACAATTTAGAATACATGGCAATAAAAAAATTAATCTATATATTGTCACTTGCCATAGCAGGTGAAAGCTTCAATAGACACATATCTCCATGGGACAAGTAGACTTCTGCATATAAGCCATTTCCTCAAGTACAGAAAATACATCATTGTGTTTATTCATGATCAGTCATTGGCCTTGGTGCAATTTGTGTTGTCTCAGGGGAAGAGAGACAGAAATTTTATAATCTACTAGTCTATCACTGACTTTGGTAGGGGTCCAAGACAGGATGGGCTCTGTTTATCTTTTGGTTTGCCTTGTACAAGAACTCATGTAAAAGAAGGGAAAGCATAGGAGTAAAATGGGACAGCCCACTTATACTTGAAATGGAGATTTATTCTAAAATGCCATTATTCATATCAAGAAAAGGTAAATACAGTACCTTTTTCTCTGTAACCAGAGATTTTTTTCCTCTGTAAAAATCTCACAGAGATATCTAGCTATGACACTGAAGTTTTTGTATATGGTCATATTAACATTTTCTTAGATAAAATTATTGCTTCTATGATTTAATTATTCTTTGACTCATCCATGCTCTGGATTGAATTATTTAGTCTCCATTTAAATTGGAATCCTTATAATTTCTCTTATTTATATTTTTTGCATGTGATGTGATTAGTAAAAGATACATTTAATTTTTTTTATTATTTGTTTATGGCTTTTTATGTCTAGCATATGGTCAGTTTTTTGTAAAGGTGCCATACAAAATATGTGTACTCCTTATAATTCCCATTAAGTAATTGACAGAGATATGTTATACCTAACTTTTCTAAAATTTTATTCAGTTCCTTAAACTCTTTCCTGTTTATCTTGTTAGTTTCTCTAGTTTTAAAAGGAGCACATCAGTCCACAACAATTACTGTTTTGCTATCTGATTCTCCTTAAAATTTCATTAGCTTTTCCTTGAACATTAGATATTATGTCATTTGGTACACATATATTAATTACAAATATTGTTTAATTATTTATTGTACCTTTAAACATAGCATAGGTCTTCTGCAAATGTCTTTTAACTATGTGTATACTGTCCTGTTGCCTTGTCTGAGGTCGCAATTGCCACTCCTGCTTTTCTTGGATTCCTGTGATGCATTATAGATTCTACCATATCCCATCATCTTAACTCTATGTGAATATTTGTTTTAAGCATATTTCTTATAAAGAACTGTTTTCTAATTCTTTCTGTCATGCTTCTGTGTCTTATGGGTGACAGTATATAATTTACTTTTTGGCCTTGATCTCCCTCTATCTGATAAAAAATAAAATGAGGCATGAGACGAAGGGAATGAGATCAACAGCAGTAATCTGTAATTGAGTTATCACACCCTACTCCTTTACCCTTTCTCTCTTCAGCCCAGACAAAGATTAATGCTTTTTCCCTCAATTTAATACTCTCTTTATAATATGCCCTCCACAATTGAAATATGTTTTGTTTGTGACTAATCCTTACCCAAACATCAATTCTTTCTCAAACCCTGTCGTTTCCTCATTCTGTCCTCACTTATTTACCTGTTGAATTTAATTTAATTTAGTTATGCACTACGTTTTGTATTTGTTCAACCTTGCTATGCTTGGTTCAGAGGATACCTGATGATGGTTCATGAGATGCCTTACTTCACCCATCCAATCTTCATATTCCTAAGTTCCTCCCTCTTATTCTTCATTTGTTTATTAGTTTATTCCTTTTCTCTTCCCTTTTCTTTATTCTCTAAACAACAACAACAACAATAAAACAGAATAAAACTATGCTCATGGCCCGAATTTATCTTTCTTTGATCTCTTTGACTCTTGAAGGCTGTGGGATTCTGAGATGACAGTGATCCCTTCTCCCTTGAATAGAATATAAGTACTTCCACATCATTTAGGCCCTTTAAAAGTCCGAATGTATTTATCCTTCCTGGTTTCTCTCATCTCTGCTGTTTGTAATTCAAAGATTATTCCCGCTGTGGTTTTCTTGGTAGGAATGCTTAGAAGTCATTTATTCTGGTAAAAGCATTTTTTTTTGCTTATAGAATTAAGTTTAGTTTTCAAGATAAGTAATTCTTGTTTGAGAGCCTTTTCTTTTGCTTTTGTATATGATGATATTCCTGCAAAATCTTGTGGGATGCTGGCTGCAGTTCCCACCTATTCAATCATTGTCTTTCTTACATTTTTTCTTTGACCTAGAAACTATGGATTGTGGTTGATATTCATTTGTATTATCATTTTGAGGATTCTTTCAGGAGGCAACCTCCTGATTTTTTATATTTTCATTTTGCTCACTTGTTCTAATACTTACAGGCAATTCCCATTTATATTTTGAAATGTCACATCCAGAGGATTTTTTTTTGTTTAGTTGGTCATAACCATAGTTTTCTGAGACTCTAGTACTTCTTGAATTGTTTCCTTATCTTATTTTCAAGGTCATTTTTTATAGGAAATAACTCATGGGTTCTATTTTTTCAATACGTTGCCTTCTAATACTTCTTATTATGATATCTGCCAGGGTTCTCCATTTCTCTCACAACAGGAATGCCACAAGGATTACTTTTCCTTAGAAGTTACAAAGCTGTCCTTGGGACTTGATTGGCCCTTGCCTTCCTTGATACAGCTTCCTTGTCACCTAAAAAAATAAAACATTCTCCCCCTCCCCCTCACACACACATGGTCAGGACTCTCTGTATTAGTGGATATCTGAAGACCACACAAGTCATCATACTCTGCCCTGCTGACCAGAAAGGTTTCTATATTGAGAAGAAAGGGACCATGTGTCTAGAAGCTAAATGCCTCTGCATCCTTATTGCATATTATTATTTTATTATTGCTTTACTAGGGCAAAATAAACCTTTTTTTTATTATTATTAACTTCTCAGTGATTTACAAGTGTCTCATTTTTATCCTAAATTTGAACCTGAGCAGGGTGCTGGTACTAAGTCAGCTAGGTGGTAGAATATATAGAATGGTAGACCTCAAGTCAAGAAGACCTGAATTCAAATCCAGCCTGTGTGACCCTTGGCAAGTCACTTAATCCCTCTGTCTACCTCAGTTTCCTCAACTATAAAATGGAGTTAATAATCGTACTTACCTCACTGGGTTGTTAAGAGAATCAAATGAGACAATATTTATAAAGCACTTAGTCAGTGCCTGGCACATAGCAGGTGCTGTAGAAATGCTCTTCCTCTTCCTTTCTACTACTGGTGTCAGGCCCACCCCTAAGATTTGTATTATTGAGCTTTTGAGTTCTTTTTGTCCCTCTATTTTTCAGTATGTTCACTGCTTGGGTAAGATTTTCCACTTTTTGCTTCAAGTTTTTTATTCTCTCTCTCAGTGTTTCATTTTGTGCCTCTTCAGTCATTTTTTTTATTCACTCTTGTCCTTGTTGTTTCTGAGGTTCTGCTTATAATTACCACAGTGTTATTTTCACCTTATGAATTAATGCTGTGCTGGGACTTCCTTCTGCTCCCACTAAAGTCCAGCTGCCACTTCATTGTCACAGTGCTAGGTTAGGTAATTGAATCCTGATACTATCTCTCATGTTGTTGTCCCTGGCTGGGAAACTGCCCAAGATCAGGTTCTGCCAGTCAGTCAGTAAATCAGTCAACCACAACAGTATGTTAAGCATTTGCTGAGTGCTTACTATCTGCGTGGCTAAATACTGGTTATGAAAAAAAAATAGCCATCTTCTGGTGTAGACACAACCCATAGCTTGTGCTGACTTAAGGCTTGTTTCCTGACCCAGACCTGACCAAAGCCTGTATTGACCGCAGCTTATCCTCTGGCATATCCTAGAGCAGCAGCTCATGCTGGACTTCATGCCCTGTCCACACAAGCAGGAAGTTTTCAGTCTTTAGATTATCCTCAGGTTTCAGTCTATCTCTTGGTGTTGTCCTGAACCAGCACAGTAGAACATTCTGGTGCTTCTCTTTCATTTTGTTGAATCTTTGTTTCTTCTAGAGCTCATCATTGATTAGCACAATGCCTGCCATGTAGTAGGTGCTTAAGAAATGGTGGCGATGGTGGTCAGTTGTTTTTCAGTCATGCCTCTTCATGACCCCATTTGGGGTTTGCTTGGCAAAGATACTGGAGTTGTTTGCCATTTCCTTCTCTGGCTCATTTTACAGATGAGGAAACTGAGACAAACAGGATTAAGTGACTTGGCCAAGGTCATGCAGTTAGTAAGTGTCTGAAGCCAGATTTGAACTCAGGAAGATGAGTCTTGCTGACTTCAGGCCCAGCACTCTATCCACCACACCACCTGGCTACCCCCAATAAATATTTATTGAATTGAATTGAATTGGCTTGGCTGGAACTTTTGTCACTATCTTTGCCAGAAGTTCCAAAACCATTGCATTCTAGCAATTTGTAATTGCTCTGCCACCTATAACTTCATCTGTTATACCTGAATTTATAAGCATCCAAAATAAGAGGAAAATTATGCTCACACATACTGTTTCACTAGGTCTAGAGTGAAAGTTGACCTTAATAAGTGGATTAACGTTGATTTTACTATTGTTATTTTGCATGAAAACATGTAATGCAAAGACGGCTGGGCTTAAGAAGTTCAATTACCTCTAACATGTAGGAAAGGTATTTAACCCTTTGAATCTTAGGCAGCTCTATAATATTTGTCTACCAAGGCAGGTATTGACATTGTATGGGAAAATTAATGTTAATATTTGGTACTTTTTTCCTATAGGTATAGAACAAATACCAAAAACTATGCTGTTTTCAATACCAGAACAACTGTAAGTATCTACTGCTTTGAGTTTTTCAGATTAAAGTTGAATGATAATGTTTATTTGTACAGAATTGTATAAATGAGCTGAGGACAAACTCAAACAGAAGTCATCTTGGCATTCCACTATTGGCAGCTTTCAGCTCCTACTCTTCACCAATTTAAAGCTTTTTCCCTACATTTCAGTCATGGAGGAGAAAGACAAAGACTACGCTTTTACGGTTTTTCTTCTTTCAGATAGAAAAAGTAAAATCCTCAGATGCAACCCAAATATTGAAGACTTACTTATTTGTCCTTACAGTCTGATTCCAATAGAATAGTTATTCTAACCTTTCTTTGATCAAAGTTTCAAAAAGTACACTCCTTGTTTCTGGACTAGTTAATCATGTACTTTTAACTAGGCACTGAACTGAACTTCTAACAGCCTTAACAGAGACAACTTTGAAAGGACCAGGGAAGGGAACAAATATTTATTACATGCGTACTATGTGCCATGTCCTGTGCTAAGCACTTTACAATTATTTCATTCGATCCTCACAACAATCCTGTGAGTTAAGTGCTATGATGATTCCCATTTTACAGCTCAGGAAACTGAGGCAGATAGAGGTTAAGTGACTTACTCAGGGTTACACAGCCAAGAAGTATCTGAAGCCAAATTTGAACTTAAGTCGTCCTTACTTCCTGCATTGGCACTGCATCCACTATGCCACCTAGCTGCCCTAATTACACTTATAGAGACATATATAAAAATGTGTCTGATGACAGCAATTTGTCAGAAAAGGATCTTAGCCTCTCAGCGCTGCCCAACACACCCATTCCACTACCACCACCACCTCCTGCCCCCAGCTTAAGAGGGAGAGTTTTCCGTGCCTACTGGCTTTGCTGATGAGGTAGGGTGAAGGGGAACTGAGGTTCAGAGAAAGACCTCTTGTCCCAGTCCACATACTGGTTAGAGAAGCAAGGAGACCTTCACTTGGGATTCTGGGTTCCTACTCCCAGCCCTTTCTCTCCACACATCGTAAGAGAAACCTTGGAAGGTAAGGGAGTTTTAGCTACTTAGTCCAGGGTTTATAAACTTAAGGCATCCTGACATAATGTCAAAAGTTTAGCATGTTAAGGATAATTCCTATGAGGTGCCAAAGGAGCAGCAAGAACCATGGAGGCAAGAATGGAGTGAAGCAAGCAGGTTTAGTCAGCACGTACTCAAGAAGAGAGTGTAGCCCAGAGACTGGACCGTAAAAGAGGACTTATAGCAGTAGAAAAACAGAGTGCAGGTTAGTTCCCTCTTTTCTTAACTCTTTATCAAGGAGGTTGTTGTGGCAAGAGCCAGATACCCAATCAGCCCTACTCAAGCTGGGTGGGAGGTGGAGGCACCATTGGCTAATGATGAAAGGGCTTCGATCTTGATATACTAATTAGGCAACCCTAAGCTGTCAGGGAAGGATCAGTAGTGAAGAAGCTAGGCCATTTTGACACTGCAAGGCATCCTGGAGTAGTTGGTCAAAAGTTAATACATATAGGGGCCTCTAGGTGGTGCAGCAGATAGAGCTCTGGCCTTAGAGTCAGAAGGACCTGAGTTCAAATCCAGCCTCAGATATTTGACACTTACCAGCTGTGTGACTCTGGGTAAGTCACTTAACCCCGATTGCCTCACCAAAAAGAAAAAAAAAGTTAATAATACAGCCTTCTTGATGAGAAGCAACTTAAAGTCAGCTAATTTAAGAGCTTTTTCAAGGGTGATTTTGACTAAGTACAACTTTTGCCTTTAGCACCGAACTTTGCCTCTAATAAGATACAACTCCACTGTAAAAATTATCAATGGACAGGAATTCTGATTTTCAAATCACAAAACTTCTTTTACTGCTCCCTGTCCCACAGACATAGTGACCTATTTGTAGGCGTAGTCAAAACATAATGAAGCAGGTGGTCTATGAGAATCTGAGATTTTTGTCTTAGTTTTGATGGAATATTCACAAGTACAGTGTTTATGTGTCCTTATTTAATGTTAAGCCGATAATCTGTGCATGTGTACAATCATTATATAATGGGACATTGGCTCAGTAATGGCCTAAAATGCTCTAAGCAAGTTCCAGAGTATATCCTATATCCTGATGAAAGCTTTAATACATGCTTTTATTTCTTTGGAAGGCATGATCTTACATGACATTTTCTTCAGTTTGCTGACCTCCCTCTCTATATATCCCCTCCATGGGGGCAAAGTGCTAAGTGCCTTCTTTGAAGCTGAAAGCTAATATGGTGGCCTTGGCTCTAGTTGCTAATGAAATGATAGTAGTTGAAAGGAATTCACTTGCCTTAACCTAAATATTAGGTGACCCTAGTAACCACTTATCAAAGGGAATAGGGAATGAGGTTGAAAAAAAATGTCTTCACATTTGCCTGAGGGGTGTCTAGTAGAGTGAATGACTATGGTGTTTAGCCCCAGCCTAACACGAGAGCTAAAATCATGTTTGCTGCCTCCCAGACATGTTAGGCAGGCCACTCTCACAAGAGAAATAAATGTCCCTTTTATGAAGACAAGCCCCCTAGCCTCAGATAACAGTTCAACAGATGGCAAAAAACAGGTTTTTGAAGAACTAGCAAATGGTAGATTAAGCGGCGAAGAGAAATGGCAGTTGCAAAGAATATCAATGATCCACAGCTGGTTGCTGGAAAATGGAGCCATGAAAGCTGTTCTGAGATGTCTAAGGATGGTTCCCTTCCCAATAACATTGGAATTTGTGGGAGATTATATCCCCTTTGTGAGGGAGGCACAGAGAAGTTATGCTACTTGATTGTTATTTGACATTTACTTTTGTATTCTGTCCTAATTAAAAACTTTGCCATTTGATTTATGATTCTTGCCTGATCTGTTATAGCAAATTCAACAGATAGGGTCAAGTCAAGTCAGCAAGTATTTATCAAGCTCTGACTGTGTGCCAGCCCCTATTATTCTAAGTGCTGGAGATGCAAAGAAAGGCAAAAATTGTCTCTACCCTTAAGATCACAATCTAATGGAAGAGACAACATGCAAACAACTCTGTACAGACAAGATATGTACAAGATAAACTGAAAATAATCTCAGTTGAAAGGCATAAACGTCAAGGAAGACCATTAAAGGTTGCTTGTAGAAGGTGAGATTTTACCTGATACTTGAAGGAAGCCAGGGAAACCAGGAAGTGGAGGTGAAGAAGGAAAGAATTACAGGCAAGGGAGAAGAGCCAGTAAAAGTGCATGGAGGAGGCAAATGGAGTGATTTGTGAGGGGAACAGCAAGAACTGCACTGTTGTTAGGTCAAAGAGTACATGGAGAGAGGCAAATAATAAGAAAATTGGAAAGGTAGAAAAGGCTAAAGTTGAGAAGGGCTTTAAAAGCCAAGCAGAGGGTTTTATATTTGATCCTAGAGGTAATAGGGAACCACTGCAGTTTATTATTATAGGAGCAGAAAATAGTATGGTCAGACCTGGGCTTTAAGAAGATAATTTTGATAACTGAATCAGGATAGACTGGAGTAGGGAGAGATAAGAGGCAGAGAGACCAACCAGAAAGCTATTGCAATAATTCAGGCATGAGGTGAAGAAGGCCTATACCAATGTGATGGCAGTATCAGAAAAGAGAAGGGGACAATTATGAGAGATGTTATGAAAGTAGAATAGACAGGACTTGGTTACTGATTGGATATGGGGAATGAGAGAGAGTGAAGAATTGGTGATAACACCTAGGTTTGTGAATCTGTATTACTGGAAAGATAGTGATACCCTTGACAGTAATGAGGAAGTTAGGAAAGGGGGATATGTGTTGGGGGAAGAGACAGAGTTCAGTTGGGGACATGTTTGACATTTATTTGTACAAAATGTATAATTAGGGGATCCATGGTCATGAGTCTACAACCAGAACACTAAAAGAACATTTTTGAGTATTTGACATCAAGCTAAGGCTATCTACAGAAGCATTAGAGGTTTTTTGGATTTTGTTTTTGAGAATTTGAGGTTGTAATTTTGTTGCAGTTTATTTTTTCTATCAAAAGTTCTATCAGCAATCCAGGCACCTTGATTTAAGCAACAAATGTATAATTGTGTTAGAAACATTTTGTGTTTTTCTAAAGTGGCATTAACACCGTGGCTCCCAAATCATTAGAGATGGTGCTTATTTTTTGTTGGAACTACCAGGGATGGGGAACCTAAAGCCTCAGGGCCATATGTGGCCCTCTAGGTCATCAAGTGAGGCCATTTGACTGAACCCAAACTTCACAGAACAAATCCCTTGTAGAAGGAGGGAGAGAAGGAGAAAGGGAAGGAGGGAAGAAAGGAAGATTACCCAGTTGAGTCCCCAGTGGATCAGCTGCTACTACTCACAAATTGTTGTTTGTCTTTCAATCTTGAAGAGGACCAATGACATCAGGAGGGTGATGTCTTGACTTGTAAGTGAACTGGATTTAAGTGAGGCAGAGTTGTGCAAAGTCATCAGCCTCATTCTCTCCTCCAGGGCCATCTGAGTCCTGTGGCAAGACACAGGTCAGGATAACTGGAGATGATAAATCTGGAAAGATGTAGAGTACTAAGGAAAACACAGAAGGAAGAGGAGGATGCAGTCACAGAATCATAGAATTTCAGATTTGAAAGGGCCTTTAGAGGCCATCAAGCCAAACCATATCCCAAATAGAATCTCTACCACGGTACCCCTACAAGTGCTCTTGTTGATGACTTTCATGGAAGGAGAACTCATTACTTCCCAAGGCAAACGGTTCCATATCTGGACAGCTCTTATATTTAGAAAGTTTGTCCTGAGATCAAGCCTAAATTTGCCTCTTTGAGACTTCTGCCCTTGAGCCTATGTTTGCTCTCTGAAGCCAAATGAAACTTATCTAATTTCCCTTCTATGTGACATCTCTTCAAGTTCTTGAAGATGCTTGATCATGACCCACCCCTTACTTTCTCTTTTCTAAGCTAAATACCCTCATTTCCTTCAAATGATCCTTATATGGCATACATTTGGGGTATTTCGCTGTACCGTTTTCCTTCTTCTTAATGCTCTCAGGTTTATCAATGCCCTTCTAATCTGTAATCATCAAAACTGAATACTGTATTCCAGATGGGGTCACAAAGAGTAGACATGACTGAAAAAATGACTGAACAACTATGCTTGGTCTACTACTTGCAACTTTATGTGATACTTTTTTACTATGTATTGTGGCCTCTAAAGTTGTAATGGGTATATAACCGTATCATACATAGAGTAATGAATGTTTGATGTGCATCTAAAATTATTCCTTGGTATCAATTATGATTCATAGGGACTACACATTTTTACTGCTCGGACAAACCTAGAGAATTGAGGGGTTTCAGAGTCACTTGATAACCATACTATGTATTCATCTTAACTTCCAGACTTCTCTGTAATTTAAACCATTCTGATTGGATACATTACATTCATACTTAATAGTCTGGGGTTTTGGTTTTTTGTTTTGTTTCTTTGTTTGTTTTAACTAGACCTACCTGATCTTTTTCATTAATATGTGGAACTCCTATTCAAGACACCTACCCTAATAGTACAAAACAGTATCCATTCTATCAATCAATAAATATTTATTGCGCTGTGCTACTCTACAATTCAGAGTCTTTGAGAGTTGCCTGAGAGTTTAAGTGGCTTGTCCAGGTTTGTATAGCCAGTATAGCCAGTATAGCCAGTATGCTTAAGGGGCAGGACTTGAGCCCATTTCTTCCCTACTCTTGAGACCAGGTCTGTAGTCAGTCAACAAACATTTATTAAGTGTTTATATATGTCAGGCATTGTGCTAAGTACTAGAGATACAAAGATGAGCAAAAAAAATTAGATTCTGTCTCGAAATACATGCTAATGGGTGAGACATCTTAGGAATAATTAAGTCTATACGAGATACACACACAGTAGAGACAACTTCCAGGAGCCAAGATGGCACCACAAAAAGGGCTGCTATGAATATTTTTGCACATGTAGATCCTTCTCCCTTTTTTTGTGATCTCTTTGGGATACAGACCTAGTAATGGTATTGCTGGATCAAAGGGTATGCACAGTTTTATAGCTCTTTGGACATAGTTCCAAATTGCTCTCCAGAATGGTTGGATCAGTTCACAACTCCCCCAACAGTGATTTAGAGCACTTCTTCATATGCCTATAAATTTATAGGCATATGAAGAAGTGCTCTAAGTCACTTTTGATTAGAGAAACGCAAATTAAAACAACTCTGAGGTACCACCTCACACCTATCAGATTGGCTAATATGACAGAAAAGGAAAATGATAAATGCTGAAGAAGATGTGGGAAAATTGGGACACTGATGCACTGTTGGGGGAGTTGTGAACTGATTCAACCATTCTAGAAAAGGATCTACATGTGCAAAAATATTTATAGTAGCCCTTTGTGTGGTGGTAAAATATTGGAAATTGAGGGGATGCCCATCAATTGGGGAATGGCTGAACAAGCTGTGGTATATGAATGTAATTGGATATTATTGTGCAATAATAAACAATGAACAGGCAGATTTCAGAAAAACCTGGAAAGACTTGTACGAACTGATGCAAAGTGAAATGAACAGAACCAGGAAAACACTGAACGCAGTATCAGCAACATTGTGTGAGGATCAGCTATGAATGACTCAACTCTTCTAGCAACACAATGATCAAAGAAAAGTACAAAGGACTCACAGAGGAAAATGCTATCCATATCCAATAAAGAACTGATGGACTCTGAATGCAGATAGAAACCTATTTTTTTCACTTACTTTATTCTTTCTCGTGCTTTTTTCCCCTTTTCATTTGTTTCTTCTTTCACAACTATGACTAACATGGAAATGTTTTTACATGATAGCACATGTAAACTATATCAAACTGCCTACCATTTTCAGAAGAGGGGAGGGGAGGGAGAGAGAAAAAAAAATTTGGAACTCAAAATCTTGTGAAAATGAATGATAAAAATTTTCTTGACATGGAACTGGGGGGGGAAATAAAATACTATCTAATTTTAAAAAAAATAAGGCAGAGCTGCCCCCCCAAAAAAAGATACATGCACAGTAGTTGAAAGGAAATCGGAAAGAAGTTACTCATAACTAGGGGGACTGGGAGAGTCTCCCAAAGAAGGTTAAGATTTGAGCTGAGTCTTGAAGGAAACCAGGGAAATTCGGAGGGAGATATAAAAATTAGCATTCCAGGCATGGGACACAGCAAATGAAAATGCTTAGAAACAGGAGATGGAGTGTTCCATTCAGGGACAGGATCAAGGGACCCAGCTATGCTATCATTCAGTAAATGAAGGGGAGTAGAGTAGCTTGGAAAAGCAGGAAAGAGTCAATTTATAAAGACTACACTGTCTCTCATAGAAAAGTAAAATAATATCTTTGTTTCAAACTCAATAGCGTAAATCACATCTTTATACTCCATGACGTCAGCTTTATATATAAGAGTAATCACCTTTGATGCTATGGTATCACAATCAATTTTTTAATTGTCATAATCAACTAAAATTGTAAGTTACTTCATCATCATTCTAGTCCATGAAGTCTGACACAAGCCTGATTGAAGGATGTATAATATATACTGGAAAAAAATCTGGGTAAAGGGACCAATGATGAAGCTATCATAGGACTTCAGAGCAATGTGTAATGAAAATCTGGACTAACGGTGTTCACAGCGGGAATGGAGCAGAAAGGACACATCCAAGAAAAATTTCAAAACAGAAGAATCCATATAACTTGGTTCGGCTAAGATGAAAAAAGACGAGGGCACTCTTTATTCTCACAGAGTGAACAAAGATCAACTCAAATGTTTTGCCTAACCATCTAGGGATCCAAAGGGATGATTACACCATGGATGGAATAAGGGAAATTAGTTAGATGACCTAGTTTTCAATGGGGATAGATAGAGGACTGGGGAAGTAATGAGTTCAGCATTAAATACATTGATTTGAGATATCATATCATAGGAAATCATAGCATATTATAGGATCATAGGTTTAGAGCTGGAAGGGATCTTTGCAGGCCACTGAGTCCAACCCTCTCACTTTACAGGTAAGGAAATGGAGGCATAAGATGAATACAGAAGAGAAACCCAGGGGTAGAAAGCATAATTTGTACAGAAGGACATATTCTATCTGGATCACTAGACTAACAAAATTCTGTGGTGAGCTACAGGATGGTTCAGTCATGCGGATGGTAGAAAGTAGAACACCAGTGGTACTGTTTCAGAGTTTATTTCACCTGCTATGTCCATCAGATTGAGAAGGTGACATGGCACAGAAAAATAATTATTTTTTTCTGGAGAGTTATGGATAATTTGCTAGTGGCATCATAGTCTAGTCTGCTGTGCCTCTCATGACTCCACTATGCCTATAAGAGAATGGGCCCAATCAGAATCCACTTTTTTCTTTGTGCTCTGTAATGTGGATTTCCCCCTCTCCTCTCGCAATTAAATAGTTCTAAAGTCACCAATGACCCCCTTTCTAGACAAATTCAGTAGTTTTTTCTCAGTCTTCATATTCCTCAACCTTTGCTGTACTGAACACTGCTGGTCACCCCTTCTTTCTTGAAATTCTGTTTCCTTTGATTCCATGACACCCCACTAATCTGGATGTTATACCAGCTTCCTGACTGTTTCTTCTCTATCTTATTTGTACACTTACTCCCTAAGTGTGGGTATTCCCCAGGCATCAGTCATGGGCCCTGTGCTCTACTCACTCTAGAATTAAATTCTTAGAGGGATCATGCATTCTCATTTCTTCAACTACTACTGCTATGCTGATGACTCTAGAATTAATATCTGATGCACCAAATTCTCACCTGAGTACCAGTTTTCCATACCCAGCTCTTGTAAGACATCTAAGAGGTAGAAATGGAAAAGACTAACCTGGATTTAGAGTCTTAATAATAAATAAGTAAAGTCTTTAAAATTATGTTATAAACATTACTTTTTCTTTTATGTTTATTTAGATCCATTTAGAATATGAAGGACCAGATTTTATAGAATGGGATGTCCCAAGGGCTTGTTCCATTAAAAACAAAAGGTAAGATTTTTTTATAATAAAAAATAGTTATGTATATATGTATATCTATACACATGTATTTTGTAAATGCTTGGATTTAATGCACATTCAGATTTATTTTGTGGTGGGGTTGCCAAGATTTGAAGAGAACTCCTGAGAACTGTGATACAAAGATTACTTTTAAAGTAGGAAAGAAAGTATTGAGGACTGATGTAAGCAGAGATTCAGCCATAACAATACAAGAGTTGTTATAAAGATCAAATGAGATAATATGTGTAAAGCAATTTCACCAATAAATGATATAAAGAACAAATCAATGAATTAATTAGTCATGCAACTAAAAAATTAGAAAGTCAACAAATAAAAACCCATCAAAACAAAACAATATAAATTGTAAAAAACAGAGAAGAAATAAAATTGAAAACAACAAAACCACTAAATTAACAAAATTAGAAGGTGGTTTTTAAAAGGAAAAAATTAATAAAGTAAATCACCAGCTAACCTGACTTTAAAAAGAAAGAGGAAAACCAAATTTCTGATCTAAAAAAAAAAGGAAAAGTAGAATTCACAACAAATGAAGAAGAAATAAAAGAAATTATTGGAAACTTCTTTTTGCTCTCTTATGCTAATGCAACTGATAAGTGAAATGGGTGATTATTTATAAAATATTTAAAAATCAGATTAACAGGATAAGAAATAATGAATTTAAGTTTAAATAACCTAATCTCAGAAAAAAGAAATTGAACAAAACATGGTGGACTCCCAAGGGAAAAAAGTACTTCATGGACAAATGGATTAACTAGTGGATTCTGTCAAACATTCAAAGAACAATTAATTATAATGTTATATAAATTAGGTGCAAAAATAGAGAAAGAAGATATCCTACCAAACTACCTCAACACAAATATGGCCCTGGTACCTAAACTATGGAGAGGTAAATCAGATAAAGAAGAAACTATAGGCTAACATCTCTAATATTAGTACAAAAATATTGAATAAAATACTATCAAAATTCTATGTCAGCTTATTAAAAAAAAGATTCTACAGTATGACCAGATTGTAGTTAAATCAGGAATGCAGGGTTGGTTTAACATTAGGAAATTATCAACATAGAAGACAATGATAATAACAACAAAAATCACATGATTATATCAAGATACAGAAGAAAACTTTTAGAAAAAATGCACCTGTTTATGTTAAAAACATTCAAAAGGGTAGGAATAAATGGACCGTTCAAATATAAGGCCTTTTCAGTAAGATCAAAGGTAAGTGAAGGATGTCCCTTGTCACCACTACTATTTTTTATAGTTCTAGAAATTCTTGTTATAATAACAAGACAATAAAAAGAAATGGAGAGAATTAGCACAGGCAAAGAAGAGTCAAAATGATCACTTTTTGAAGATGACATTAAGGACTCCAAGAGAAGATAATTAATAAGAAAGAAATAATTAAATAATAGCTTCACCAAAGTAGCAGGATCTGAAATAAATCCACAAAAATTACCAGACTTCCTGTATATTACCAACAAAACCTAGCTGGAAGAAAGAGGAGGGGGGAAAAGAACATTTTATATAAGAATCTGGGATTTCAGCTACTGAAATAGAGGAATGATACAAACATAGCCACAAAACACTCTTCATGGATGTGAAAACATACCTTAATAATTGCTAAACTATTAATTGCTTATGGTTAGTCTATGACAATATAACAAAAATGATAATACTAAACAAATTTATTTACAGACTCAGTATCATACCAATCAAATGATCAAAATGTTACCTTAAAGAACTAGAAAAACAATAATGCTATGTATTTGGTTGAATGAAATGTGAAGAATCTCATGGAAAATAATAATAAAAAGTGGGCATAATGGGAGTCTTAGCAGCACCAGATCTCAGTCTATGCTATACTGGGGGTCAAGCAGTAGCAAATTTAGAGTATACTGGTACTGATTAGTTATAGAAAAGTTGACCAGTCAAGCATTAAGAACATATGACCCAGAAACAGCTGAACATAGTACCACTGTGCTCACTAGAAATAGACTTCATGTTTAAGAAAAGCTACTGGGAAATTTAGCAGTCTGGCAGAAATTAGGTTTAGATGAATACTTTACATTGGATATCATAATAAGCTCCAAACGAATACATGCCATAAATGGTTGGTTATTGTATTTTGTTCTCAAAGAGGACCAAAATGACATCACTCTGTTTGAGTCAAGTTACAATGCATCCAATTGTGGCTGATCAGACCAATACAAGCTCAGGATGCTCTACCACAGGTCGGGCACAAATAGTCCATGTAAACATCTGGAGTGGACAGGCTCTCTAGATTTACACACCTTGCGTTTCTTTTGAGCTACTTCAATTCCACTTTGCTCATAGAGCACGGCACCTTCTCTGACGAGGGCACGCCATGCTGAGCAGTGTCTCTCATGTCACACAATCAATTCCAAAGTTCTGAAGAGAGACCTTGAGAATGTCCTTGTATTGCTTCTTCTGACCACCAAGTGAGAGCTTGCCCTGTGTAAGTTCTCTATAAAATAGTCTTTTAAGCAACCATACATTTGGCATTTGAACAATATGGCCAGCCCATCATAGTGGCGCTCTCTGCAGCAGAGTTTGAATGCCTGCCAATTTATTTTGAGAAAGGACCTCAGTTTCTGGTATCTTATTCTGCCAAGTGATCTCCAGAATCTTCCTAAGACAATTCATATGGAAGCGATTCAGTTTCCTGGCATGATGCTGGCATACTGTCCAGGTTTCACAGTCATACAACAATGAGGTCAGCACAACAGCTCTGTAGAACTTCAGTTTCGTAGGCAGTGTGATACTTCTCTCCCACGCTTTCCTTCCAAACCTTCCAAACACTGAGCTAGCTCTGGCAATGTATGTACATCCCTAGGAAGTATACTGAGAAGGTAAACAAAGTTAATCCATAGCATTCAAAACTCCATTTGCTGTAATCAATGGTTCCACACATAGGAGATATAGTAGCCGTCTGTGTTTTCTTGGTGTTAATTGGTAGGCCAAAATTAGCACGAGCGGCAGAGAAACGATCCAGTTTCAGAGGCTGCGTTGAGTGCACAATCATCTGTGAACAAAAAAATCATGCACCAACACTCCCTCCACTTTGGTCTTGGCTGGTAGCCTTTTCAAGTTGAAGAATTTACCATCACTGCCGTAGCTGACCTTAATGCCATGTTCATCTTCATTGAAGGCATTTGAAAATGTGGCTAAAAACATCGTGTTAAAAAGCATGGGCATAAACAGCCTTGTTTCACTCCATTGGCAACTGGGAAAACACAAGAACATTGTCCATTATGCAGAACCCAGGCAAACATACCATCATGAAATTGACATACGATACTGCTAAACTCTGGGCAACCAAATTTTGACATTTTCCATAAGCCCTCATGTCTGACTGTATCAAAGGCCTTGGTCAGATCTACAAACATTGTGTACAGACCTTTGTTCTGCTCCTGGCATTTCTCCTGGAGTTGTCGGGTAGCAAACACCATATTAACTGTTCCTGGGCTCTTTCTGAAGTCACACTGGTTCTCAGGTAGATGACCATCTTCCAAATGAAGAATCAGCCTGTTAAGGAAGACTCTGGTGAGAATCTTGCCAGCAATGACTAAGAAAGACAACCTCCTGTGATTGTCACAGGACAATCTATTTCCTTTACGTTTGTAGAGATGGACACGGAGGCATCCTTGTATTCTTGGGGGACAGCTGCCTCTTGCTATATAACCTGGAAATTTTCGGTCAGCTTTTGTATAAGCAATGGACTCCATCCTTCACCTTGTAAATTCCAGCTGGAATAGAATCAGCACCAGGTACTTTGCTACACAAAAGGAGTCTAATGGTGTTCAGAATTTTTTCTTCAGCTGGAACTTCAGCTAGGGAGGGACTGACTTCAACCTGAGGCAAATGGTCAATGGCTTCAGCATTGATTGATGATGGTCCGTTGAGAACACTTTGGAAGTGTTAGGCCCATCTCTCTAAGCTCGTGTCCTTATCACTAATCAATGTGGCTCCATCAGCACAGTGTAGTTGAGATGTACCATAGGTCTTTGGCCCACAAATAACCTTCAGAGCACCATGAAAGTGCTTTGGATTGTAACTATCAGCATAAAATTGAATTTATGTGCCTTCTTACTGAGCCAAGAATCCAGCATATCTCTAAGCTTCACTTGTACTTTACTTCTGATGGAATTAAATGCTGCCCTCTTAGAGATGGATAAACTATCCAGCTGGTAAATCCTGTGGAGTTCTCGTTTTTCATTTAGCAACTTCTGAATTTCCCCATCATTTTCATCAAACTAGTCTTGATGTTTGTGAGTGTTCTGACCCAGATGAGCAAATGCAGTGCTGTGCACCAAATCTCTGAAAAGCTGCCCACTCTGTTTCTGCTCTGCTGTTGCTCCACTCAACTTTCCCTCCAGATTAGCAACAAACTGTTCCCACTCAGAAAAGCACTCTAATCTGTTGACATTAATTCTTCTGGTAGTCATTTTGCCTTGGAGCCACTGCTTTTGTTGAATGTGAATGTTTAGCTTGGAGAGGATAAATCTATGATCACTCCAGCACTCTGCACCACACATTGCTTTCATCACTCTCACATCCTCTCTCTCTCTTCTCTTTACAATGACATAGTCTATTAAATGTCAATGTTTACTACAGAGGTTCATCCACAAAGTTTTATTGCATTTAGGTAAATGGAAGACAGTATTGATGATGATTAGGTCATGAGATACACAAGTCTTCAGTAGTAAATAACCATTGCCATTGCTGTTTCCAATTCCATTCCTCCCTAGCACTCCCGGCCAAGTCTGGTAGTCTGAGCCTACTGTCACACTGAAGTCTCCCAGAATTATAAGCTTGTCCTCTTTTGGCACATTGATGATGAGGGTCTCCAGGTGTTCATAAAATTTTTCTTTGTCATTGTGGGAACATGGCATTTTTCTGCAAGTGCAATCTCGTTGTCATGAGACTTAATTCCTTTTGGTAGTCATAAGAGCT